TTTGAAAATCAAAAGCTAAAAAATATATTTTTAAATAATAGAAATTAATATTAACAGAAGCGAGGTTAAAGAGTACAGTTTAAATATTAAAAAGTACAAGAACCATTAAAATTAAATATTAAAGATTAGAAAAAGATAAATTAACAGGTAACAAGGACATTTAAATAAAAGGTTAATGATTTCAGGAATGTAATCTAAAAATACGGTTTAAAAATAAAATTAATATTAAAAGAAGAAAAGTTAAAAAGTGCAATTCAAATATTAAAAATTACGAGAAGAAAAATGGAAAAACCATTATAATTAAAAATTATGATTAAAAGAAGAAAAATTAACAGGTATATTTACAATTTGAGGAGGAACCTACAAACTTAAAAAACACGTATATTTATAATTACAAGATGTGATTAAATTTTATGGACGCATTAAACAGAGGAACGGTGCCTGGAGAAGTAGGAGTAATGAAGGAAGACTCCCTGAATTCTATTGAACCCCCGGATGAGGAGGAAATGGAAAATGCCCTGATGAAATTAAAAAATGGAAAGGCGCCAGGCCCGGACGGAATCCAGTCAGAGCTGTTGAAATGTGGAGGTGAAGAACTTAAGAAAGCTCTGCATGATTTAATGCTGACCATCTGGGAGAGGGAAGCTATGCCTACGGAATGGGCAACAGCCATTATCTGCCCAATACATAAGAAAGGAGATCAAACAGAATGCGCTAACTATCGTGGAATCTCACTCCTTTCGTGTGCTTATAAGCTGCTCTCTAACATTCTTTTTGAGAAGATTCTCCCGTATTCTGAAAAGGAACTGGGGAAATATCAGGCTGGATTTCGAAGAGGACGCTCAACCACTGATCAACTGTTCTCTCTGAGGATGATCCTAGAAAAGACTATGGAGCATAAGGTAGTCACCCACCATTTATTCCTAGACTTTAAAGCAGCATACGACAGCGTTGATAGAACGCAACTATACTGTGCCTTGGAGGAGCTAAGCATCCCTCAGAAGCTCGTACGCCTAATCAAGATGACCATGGACAGCTCGAGATGTAGAATACGCGTCGGTTCTGACGACTCCGAAGAGTTTAAAGTGAGCAGTGGGGTTAGGCAAGGGGATGCCCTCGCCTGTCTATTGTTCAACTTGGCAGAGGAGAAAGCTGTAAGAGACTCCGGTATTCAGACCAACGATATAATCTTCAATCGCCTGACACAGCTTCTTGGTTTTGCTGATGATATTGACATAATAGGTAGGTCTGAACAGGCTCTCAGAGAAGCGTTTATAGGCCTTGAAGCAGCTGCAAGACCACTTGGTCTAGAAGTCAACGAGAGGAAAACTAAGTATATGAGAGTTGGTGGTGAGGTGGATCTGAACTCTCCATTTGAGGTAGGTTCTTTTAAGTTTGAGAGAGTGAAAACTTTTATATACCTTGGGTCTGAAATTAATAGCAAAAATGACATGGCTCAAGAAATACAAAGAAGGATCACGGCTGCCAATAGATGTGTCTTTGGACTTGGCCGACACTTAAGAAGTAGGTACCTCTCAAAGAAGACCAAGCTGATCATATACAAGACTCTTGTTCGGCCTGTTTTGACATATGGCTCAGAGGCTTGGACGATGACCAAAAACGATGAGATGAAGCTGAGTGTGTTTGAGCGAGGAGTCCTCAGAAGGATTTATGGTCCAGTAAAGGAGGGTGATGTCTGGAGGAAAAGAAAAAATAGGGAGCTCAGTTCTCTCTATGCAGACATCGACGTAGTCACCTATATTAAACTGGCCAGACTAAGGTGGGCAGGGCATGTGGCCAGAATGAGCACCGTTGAGATACCCAAGAAAATAATGATGGAGAAGCTGCACCTCGCAAGACGGGTAGGAAGGCCGAGGACGAGGTGGTTGGACAACGTGGCCTATGATGCGAGAACCCTGCTTGGTGTACGGAACTGGAGAGCTGCAGCAGAAGACAGAGCCAACTGGCGGAGGCTCTTGGAGGAGGCTCAGTCTCGGTAACGGGATGTCGTGCCACACATGAATGAATGATTAAATTTTATGAAATATTTTGATTTTCTTAAGGAATAATATTAAGTTTTTAGTAGCATCGGGGTCCTTTTGGAGTGGTTCTTCAAGGCTATATCTGAAAAAAGATTGATCCCTAATTGATGTCCGATAATTGAAATGCATAACATTCGGTTAGGATATGGTTCACTGTGAGAGGTACTACGCAAGAAATACATTGAGGAGGAGAGTCTTTCCTCATATATATATATATATATATATATATATATATATATATATATATATATATATATATATATATATAAACAAAAAATAAATATATAAATAAACCATGTTCATAAACAGTATTGGACAAAATTATATACATTGCTAAATAAGGTACTATTTATTTATTTGGTAGTACATACAAAAAAATCTTTATACATTAATATAAATCCATACCTATGTTTCAGTTCTGTTTGGTTCTACCTTCATCCAGTTAACATTAAATCTTGGATATTGGAAATCCAAGACTTAAAAAAAAAAGAAACAACAAGAAGAACATTAACGTTATTAAATTAAAATGCTATGACATTTATCAAATTTAATTCTACAACAGCTGCGTCATCGTAAAACAAAATAATATATTACATTATTCATACATAAAATATCTAGATTACCATCATGAATGGAGTAATTACCATCATAACAGTTCGTCAGACAAAAAATATAAAATGATAAAATTTATATATAAATAAACCATGAACATAAACTATATTGAACAAAAATATATACACAGCTAAATAAATGATTTACTTATTCCAATATATGTGGCATTAAGTTCGCCTGCGAAGAGAAAAACCTTGCTTGGTTCTAGGATTTGTTTAGTTTATATATATTTAATTTCAGTATTATTATTTTGCTGTTTTTTTATTGTGCATAGTTTGAATGGGATACTCTTCTATCATTATTACTATTGTCCTTAGATGTGATAGATAATATTAAAAAAAAAAAAAAAATTCTGGGAAATATGAAGCAGCTACCTCAATATTGCTTGTTTGATTATTCTGCTATAATGCAGAGAAACTGTTGTCACAAATCACAATTTGAACTTCCAAGTGGTTACAAATCACAAAAATGCACACCAACCATCAGTTCGTATCGCGTGCGTTAATTAACAAATATATATTGTAGATAGGTATGACTGTGTCTTTATGTTTTTTAATTTACTTATCTTTAGATTATTTTATTTTTTTACTGTACATAGTTTTTTATTATTATTTTACTTTTATTAATTATATATTTTCTTTATATATAGTGTGAATATGTTCATGTATCACTCACTATATACTATTGTCCACGTTACAGATTGTTATAATTCTAAATAAATAAATAAAAAATATTAACAAATGACATACTTCTGCTTACTACTACATGTCATGTAGAATATGAGAATCGAAACAAAGCAAATTTGTTTGCCTTAAAATATTATATTAAGAACAAAAAAAAAAAAAAAAACATTGAGTCTTAAAATAAGTACTTATCAGCTATAATATAGTTATAGCACAGTTTTGACAATCACTTTCTTTACCTATATCGGACCTTAAATACCTTCGCTTGTAATTAAATGCCAAGGAAGAGTGGGAGAAGAGAAATAGAATGGAAAAGTACCCTATCATTTGAAGAAGCAGATAAGAAGTATGGTAAGCGTACCAGTGATGGACACAGGTAAGGAAATTTTATTTTTGGCTGATGCCATCGTAATTATTATAGTTATAAATTTCTCCGTTCGACATTTAGAATCTCTAGGGTCTCCTTTTTCTATTCAGCACTTTAAAATTGAATACATATTCAGTTATGCAATTATAATCTCCATTAAAAAAAAAAAGAAGTTTTATTGCAATTGTGGACACATGGACAGGGGATTGGTACTCGTAATGGACATACCTTAAGAAAATTTTAAGTTTTTATGTAACCATAATGATAAGATAAAGTAACTAAAAGTTCACCTTCCTCTTAGTAAAGCTGTTAATATGGAGGTATAAAACTCACTGATCTAAAGAGCACACATCTAAAGAGAAACCACAATATAAGACACTTTAAAATATTCTATTGGGAACTTTGTTCATATAGTTTTTTTTTTTGTTCTTTTTTTTTTGTTCTTCCCTACCTCGCCTTTTAGGCTATACGGGATTTTCCCGGGCCGGGGGGTGAGGGCGAGGAATTTAAAATCCCCTCCATTACCGGGATGCGAACTCATACTTTTTTTATCTTCTCAAATCTCTTATCCGGTTGCAGTGCACACGCTTTAGCCCATTCGGCCACCCCGCCCCCTAAAAGATAAAAAGTAACGGGCCGCTCCTTTACTCCTTTACGGGGATTTGAACCCGGGACCTCCTGCATCCAAAGCAGGAATCATACCCCATGACCAAGCGGCCAATGTTGTTCATATAGTTGTCAAAAGGAACCTTTAAATCAACAAGGAACCTTATTATTTACATTTAAAGTCCAACCTGCACATCACTGGGTCCCCTGTCCATAACTGGTGCGTTCACCCTTCGATCAGATACTTAAGTTCATACAGCTCTCCTTTTTCCTTGGTATCGGCGACCGAATCCCAGTTTATACTTAGATTCCGTACATTCGCCAAGCGTGAAAAAACTAAACAAATCAATAATAGTATTTAGATGTTAAAAGATATTACTCGTGTAATAAAAGAAGTATTTTAAATAAAGTTAAATTCAATTGGTAAATAATCAACATTACCGAGTAGCAGAGTTGGTGAAACTTGGAAAGGTATTGAATAGAAAATTACACAATTTTAGCAAAAAAGAAAACAATTTTCAATTATTGGCAAACACTTGTTACTCACGACAAGGGTGAGTACTCCAAGGGGTGTCAGATGGCTCTTTTCAAGTATCCCGAAGGAAAGACGAGGTCCGGGATCAGAGACCCAAGCTGACCGCATCCGGGAACTGAACGCACGTTTTGTCTTTGTTTGAGTCGGGGAAACAAATGGCCAGAGGTGCAAATCCTCCCAACACCACAATTGATCAACTCCATAACACAGTACCTTTGGAGCGGGCGAGTCCAAAGGGGATCTCAGTCAGAGCATCGACCTCCAAGGGTTGGAGGATATCGAATGTAATGGGAGTCAAGTTTCTAATATCACATCCATTCATCAGTATTTCGATGTTATGTTTAGTATTATCTCTGCTTTTGATAAACTCTACTGATTCTGACCAATATGGCAGATGCTTAACTCCAAGTAGTATGGGAGAATAGAAGAATTCGTCAATGATATTCACTCAACGTTATAAGCACTCAGAAAGTTGAAATTTATTGACGAATACATAGACCCGATGGCAATGAAATATAATATGTTCGCTATGATATGACAGCGATGGATCAGTTGTGTCTAACAACTCTGCTGATTTTGAGAAATCTTAGAAAACTCTTACAGATGTGTGTGTAAGATGCTTACCAATCAGCTCGTCTTGTCGCTTCTATCTGTCGAGTCGATAGCATTTCAGTGATTGAACTTTACTTTTTAATGGATTAGACTTGACTTAGCAGACTGTTGTTTACAAAAAAATGACTTATTCAAAAGAACACTTATTACGTACTTATTTATATATTTGTAATTTTATTACATCTACTCTCGACATACTTTTCGTTTCGGTTCTGTATCTCTAAAACCCATGAAGGGTTTAATACTTTATAAGAAGTACTGTTTCTTGAGAATCAGTTGTGCAAAAAGCTGATTTGAAAGAAATTACGCTCAACCGCCACGTTTTTTCAGTTAATTTGTTATTTAGTTAAGAGTACCTAATTAATTGATATTGATCGTATCCATCGATCGATCTACGGTTGTAGATATAAATAGAAAATAAATAAATAACTACCATACCTGGGCTCGAAAACGACACCAGGAGTATAATGCAGTGTCTTTTTCACTGAGCTGTTCCTAGACGTTTGCTTTGCTAACATATTAATGTATTTTTATTATTTTTCGTTATGAATTATCTTTTTTTTCCCTCTTTCTCGTGGTCTTGGCGAGGGGTTGAAAAAATTTAAGATTTTAATTAATTAAATTTTTATTCTATTTTTTTAACTTGTTTCGATTTTGATTTTAAAATTCGTATGGTGCATGTAATGTATTCTTAGTTGTATCTTTATTTTTACCTACGCTCAAACAATTCAATTTATCTTTGATTAATTTTATTATCAACCGTTTACTTTTGTGTTAATTATATATTTATTTTTACTACAATTATACCACATTATCATATTTCTTATAAAAATTTAGTTCTGATGAAGATCCACAAGATGATGCCCATTGTCACTTAATATCTTTTATCAACATTTTGTCTACATTTTTAGATAAATGTTGTTTATACAACCAGACTTCTGAATTATAGAACTAATTAGGGTTAATTCATTTTTCGCGTTTGTTATTCGCGTCGCTCGCCATTTTTGATTATAATTTTTATACCAGATATTCCCTACTTCATGGATAGTTAAAAAGCATAGTTAAGAAAAAAATACAGATTTTCCTCACCGTCCAATATGAATATATTTTTCGACTGAACACATGTTACAAAACTGTCCGGGTTAGAATAGGTAGGATATGCAGATACCGACACTCACTAGGAAGCAATGTTTGTTGCTCTATAACTAATAGAACTAGTTCAGTCTCAGTGATCAAATTCATGTCACTAGTTCTTATGATAAAGAGTTGTAAAGAGTATCAATTTCATAATTTTTCACTCACAAGGAGAGGATACAGTCTGTGAATCACACATTTCAACCATTTTTTTTTTTGGTGATACTACGTCGAAAAATATTAAACACTTTCCCGGCGTTCTTTTCAATGGGCCTTCGGAGCCCATAGATTTCATCAAATTCATCATTAATATAACCGTTAGAAAGCTGAATTGCTGCACTTCCAATTAACACCAATGACTTTTGGATTTCATCTTATTTCATGCTAAATATTAACGAAAACTTCTGACACAATTTTATTCTTTTTTTTCCCCTTCCATCGTTAGCCCAAGACCTTCATTGAAATCCTATACTGCGAATCCATTTTTATTTTATATCTTTAGGTGAAATTTGCTTACGAAGATCGGGTTTGTACCATTTCGTGTAGCACACAGAGACCTAAATCCGTATTAATTTTAGTGTGCATCGGTGAAGCCGTTCTAAAGTTATTACAAGTTTTGTGATTATTGACGAAATTTCGAACGGTTGAGCGCAAGCAAAATTTTCATGCCTAAAATACAAAATACAAACCCGATCTTCGTATTTATTAAATATGATATTCATGTTCTATTATGAGAAATTAAACTAAATTCTGACACCCAATGACCGAAAAACTAACTCAAGTCAAAGTTGTCAATACCTCATGTTGGACGCCATATTTGGACAGTGTGTTTACTTTTTTTTTTGTGGGACCATTTACGTTTTTTGAATAAATAGTTGGAAAGAACACAACGATATGAAATTTATATGGATGTCGGGGAATTCACGGTCTGTCCCACCATGAACCACTACTGAGGGTGAAGGTGCCATGGACGAACAACCCTTTTCTTGATTCTTAAAACCACTTTTCTTTCTTTTTAGGTGATATATTGATCAACGAAAAGTTTGGAAAAATTTTCATCATTATATCAATTTTTATTTTGGTTTGTTATCAAGAAAATTACCAGAGTTACAGGTATTTTCCCAAAACAATTTTCAATCGAAAAACAAATTCCAAATGGAGTCGAGAAAATACTGTGAGCTTTAATTTATTTTTAAGTGTGGTATTAGGCTTATAATTAAAAATGAAATATCTAATAAAAATATACATAAAATTAAAAATGTCGAGCAACAAAATTAATTCAAATTGGATGATTTCAAATGGATTGACCCATTAAAAATTAATAATCTTTAGTACAGATTAAAAGTGATAATAAATCCAAACTTCTGCAAGAGGAAAACAAGTTGTATAGAAGTTTGGACTAATTAAATAATTATAAGATAAAGTAAGTAATAAATGTTTTTTGACCTTGAAATTTTAGTTTTTGTTTAAATTATTAATATTTTTAATTTTTAATAATTTTATCGAAAAAAGAATCGAAGAAATAATGTATTTATTGTTTTTTGTCCTTGTTTTCTCTATTCATCAACACCTTCAAATTAAACTCGAATAGCACTTTAACGAAATAATGAAACATTTTAAGCAATTATGTAGAATAAACGATATAGTAACATTATATACTCTGTAGATAAATGTTTGTTTGCTACTTGTTTTAAAATAGTTTTTCACTAAACATTTAATTAATGTTCTGTACATTATGTTCGTGTAATGGAGAAGTACCGCAAAACGTAGACAAAAAGTTGTGAACAAAATAATATATGAATTACAATGTACCTAATAGTATGTAATAAGAAGTAACATTTTTAAACAGAATTAAATGGTTAAACCGATTCCAATTGCCTATGGCAATTAAAGATACTTCACCAAGACATCATTATTGCTGACTTCTTCATTCCACTGTCTAATCGGATTTACTCTATCAACGTGCTGATGTAATCTGTCTATGTTATGGTCTATATAAACAAACTGTCTCTACTGGAGCGTTGAACTTTAATTTCAACTACTTACATTAATAAAATATGTTACTTCATTTCTGTGCCCCCGAGGTAAAGGACATCACGTTCCTTTTTTATTAAATAATTTAGTAACTAAGAAACAAATGGCTTAAAGTTATGACAAATTAACTTCTCTGAACAAATACAAAAATATGTCATGGCGTCCTTTTCCATAAGGATTTGATTGGATAATTCTGGCTTAATTGTTTTATTTTATGTTTTGATTGAGCTAAAAACACACCTGAAGTTCTTCAACAAAAGTTTTTTCGGAAAATAGAAAAAAACATGTAATAAAAATTATTTGTTGTTTTAACTGGTGACAATCAAAATAAATAGCCTAATGAATGTTTGAAAATAAGTTTTTTCCTAATTTTAAAAATTTATTATTTTCGTCAGTTTCCTCAAAAAAAAAAAAAAAAAAGGTATCAAAGTGAATTCTTTGTAATTTTTCATCTTATCTATATTTAGGATTATGGATTGCGAAAAGCGTTTTTGCCTGTTTGTTATAAGCGAAAAAATCTGTGATTCTATTGATAATTATTTTATATTTTCTGAAAAACATTTCTGTAGACTTACTCATATTCATGTTCAGCTCTCTCCTCCCCACAAAAAAAAAGTTACTCAAAGGAAGTTTTAAAGATCAAAGGAAAACGATCACATCAAATTTACTTCGAAGTACAAATTGACTGCGATTTCCGCCTATTCGACGTTCTTTTACGTGGAAACCATTAGTTATTCCAAAAAAAGGTTCATAATGTGAATTATAGATAACTAACTTAATTTTTTTTTATTGTAGCGTGAAAAGCTTAGTTTGCATGATTTAGCTAGAAAACAAAAAAAATGTGATTTTTAGAGATTTTTTTAGGATTAAAATAAGCAAAACTCTCGAACATTCAAGTTAACTTGCCATCGTTTCGCCAATTCAGGCAACATCGAACCAGAAAAAAACAAGTTCAAATATATGCAGAAACACAGAAAGAGAAGAAAAAACTAATGTGTGTGCTTTAGACCGCACGATAGATGCGGAAACATCAAGAAGGCAACATTAATAATATGAAATATAAATTAGAAGAAATAGCTCATTATAAAGAGAATGAAATGCTGAACATTTTCTCCGCTTACAGCAGGTCCAATGATTAGTTTGTGAGATATTTTAATCCGTATCTTTCATAAAATTCGTTATAATTTGGTTTTCGACAGTATATTTTCCTTTTCGCCCCTCTAACACGTCATCGCTAACGCTTTAAGATACAATTTTAAATAATAGTACATTACAAAGAGTATAAAATGCTAAACAATTCTCTCGCTTATAGTATGTAGATTCGATTCGACCCACCTACAAAAACATTAAACATTCCAATGAAAATTATTGCGACTCATAATAAAAGTACCTTGGTAGGTGACTAACAAAACTCTATATACTGACCTCCACTTTCCAACAGTTGAATAACATAACGACCCTACATCGACGATTTTACACAAATTTAAATGGACATAATAACAGA